TTCCTCTTGACTCCTCCCACACCTCATATCCAAACAACAGCAAACCCGCTTGAGCTTGCTCTCTAAGTGTTTCTTCAACTCAACCAATTCACTCCTCCATCACCGCTTGGCTGGCTGCTGCCTCTCGCCTGGTGACCCTCACATGCAAAACCCCCTGTTCTCCTCCTGGACTCTCTATGCAGCCTTCTAAGAGGCTCTGAATGAGCATATTATCCCATCCCTCTGCCCAGAACCTCCTACTGGCCAGAGTTCCTACAGAGGAAAAAATGCCTTCATGGCTCCCTAGATCCTCATAGCCCTAGTTAGACCACAGTCCTGCCTCGCTCCCTTCCATCCTGGCACTCTTCCTAGATTTTGCAAGATGGTCCATCCTCAAGTTCCTTTCATTCATTGTCTCTGTGTCTAGAATGGAAGGTGTGATCTCCACATCTGCATGTAGCTAAGGAGAATGGGACTCCTCAGGGTGACCACTCAAATGTTCTTTCTCCATGAGGCTTTCCTTAACCATACTGTATAAAATTACAACTCTTCTCCTAGATACCCAGTTCCTTTGTTCTCTGCTCTATTCTCCCCTTCAGCCACAGCAGTCAGTATCAGTGCTGGATCTTAGCTTATATCATCCATTATGAGGGCTGAGAAATCTGTCTGCTGTATTCATGACTGGATCTCAGTCTTAGAACAGTGCTTGGCATCCAGTGAGCCATTGTTGGATTGATGCAAAGACAAATGATAGGCATTTGGAGCATGTCCATCTCTTGCTAACAAATGCCATAGCAACCAATACTGGGTACTGACCATTTTGCTTATATATGATTACATTTGTAGAAAAAATACCTACAAGTAAAATTACTGAGCCAAAAATATGAATACTTATAATTCTGACTCTGAGAGTTTATGTGTTCAAAAAGTTCCATAATTCACCATTATATATTGGGCAAATTACATAAGAATTACAGGGCTCCCTATGGTGACATGGGTTTGCAATCAGATGAAAGAAATGATAAGGGAAAGCTGTCTGGGAATTTCAAGCAATCAGTAGCCATTAACACCAATTACTATCCCATCAGAGGCACTAGTGAGTCATCACAGCATCCTGGCCACACAGCAGTTGTCAGATCCACTAGCTCTCTGCTTGCAGACCTGGACAAAAAGGATAGGCCTATATCCCAGATAGTTTCTGATGTTGGAAGAAGTCAGCAGAGGACCTCTCACATCATCTAGCACAGTCTGAAAAGCGTCTGAGATGCCATGGTCACAATTACCTTGGACTCTGTTCAGGAGGACAAGTGTCATGACCTCTTGGGATGTTGCTAATATTGAAGCCTATATTAATGAAACAGTGCCCATATCCTGGGCACCCCTGGACAGTTACCTGGTACTCTATAGCACCGAGAACTTTAAACAGACATAGAGATCCTCATATCATGGCCCCTGAGACCCGTTTTACCTCATGATCTAAACCAGCCACCTCTCCACACAGGTCCTCATCCTGCACTGACCGCTAAATGGCTGGTGCTGAATGTGGGTTCATCACCTCTGCACAGTAATGGATGTATCCGTAAATAGAAACCTCACTCTAGGCAAACAGCAGCACAGCCTGCCTCAGTGCCCTTGATGGAGCAGAGCTCAGGTCTTCTTAGTCAACCCTCCTTGTTTAATGCAATCCTCCAGCATCCAGGGCAGGGTCTGTACCATAACACTGCTCAGCGGACACAATGTCAAGATGGGTCAGAAAGGTTTGTCCTGGAGACCAGTGAGTCAGAGGAGCCATGAGCTGTACCGTGCCAGTTCTTGGGGACTTGGCTCCTCTAGGGTCTTCTGAGTTTGACTTTTCAGTTCAGAAGATTCTGACCTCTACAAATGCCAAGATAGATTCACATGGCTTCTGGAACATCCAGGAAATGCTTTGATAAAGGAGGTGACCCCCATTGCTCAATGAGTACATAAGCTATGTGCATCTATTTCATGGTCAAAAAAAGAATCTTGACTGAAAGTTATATACCGTGAGTGTTCCTGGCTACGACCACTTGGGAAGTATTTTGGCTGAAGATATGTGTACCCTCTGAGATAGCAATTTCAACTTTTACTGTAGATACCCTAGAGAAACTTGAACAAAGGCTTGCATAACAATGTTGATTATAGCTTGTGCTGCTTAGTTTTTATTGTCAACTTGACACCACTAGGATGAGGGGTCCTCAGCTGAGGAACCATCCAGATCAGACTGGCCTGTGGACTTGTCCGTAAGAAATTATCTTGATTAACAGTTGGTGCAGAAGAGTCCAGCCCACTCTGGGCAGCGCCATTCCCAGGCCGACAGAGCTGGGCTATATAAGGAAGCTAGCTGAGAATGAATCTGAGAGTGCGTCAGTAAGCAGCACTCCTCAGCTTCTGCCTGAGTCCCTGCTCTGACTTTTCCTCAGTGACAGATTGTGACTTGGATAAAGTCAACCCTATCCTTCTCGAGTTGTTTTTGGTCATACTATGTACCACAGCAACAAGGAAACTAACCAGAACATAACATTATCAGCAAGAGTAAAAACTGGAAACAACTCAAGTAGCCATCAAGTACCGAATGAACCTGTGCAGGATGCCATCAAGAAAACAAATAAGTACATTTTAGTTTAGCTCTGTGGTGAAATGTTTTACCACACTGAAATAGATGTGCTAGAGCCCTACATATCAGTACATGAAAAACAACAAGAACAGTGTCATGAAGAATCAAAAGCAAGTCCTAGGATACCTGTGAAGATGTATGTAAACTTTAAGAGTACGTAGAAATGCTATGCACTGTTTATGGAAATACGTCTATGTATAACATCTATCTCAAAGAATGCTTTCGCAGTATAAATCCTAAATTCAGAATAACAACTTCTGTGATCCCCAATTTGCACTTGGGTCCTAATATTCAGGAGTGATTCCCTGGAAGTGAATAAATTGAGGAATCCACTCTTGTGAATGGGATTAGTATCCTTATAATAGGGGCTCAAGCTATTAGAAATAAGATATTAGATATAAGACAGCTAGCTGAGAATGAATCTGAAAGGGAGTCACAAGCAGCAATCCTCGGCTCCGGCCTGAGTTCTCGCCTTGACATTTCCTTAGTGATAAATTGTGCCCCTCTGTCCTTTCACCATGAAATCTTCTGGTGCCTTCACATTGACCTTCCCAGCTCTAGAGCTGTGAGCAATAAATTTCTTTTGCTTATAAATTACTTAGTCTAAAATATTTTTGTTACAACAGCAAAAGCAGACTGCCAGCAGCTACCTTTGAGAAAGGAAAGTAGCGTATCATCAGAGAGCATTACAAAGTCACTTTATTGGCATCTGTGATGTTTTACTTCTTTTAAGATATCTATATCTATATCTATCTATATCTATATCTATCTATATCTATATATCTATATCTATATATATATCTGTGTGTGTGTGTGTGCTTGAAATATTTCACAATTAAAAGAGATAATATAATGGGTGTCTCAATCCAATGAGGTGAGTTGAAGTACTGTGTGTGCCGAGTCCAATGGACAAGTTCAGTGTTTCTGTGCCGTTATCTTTTGGATCTTCATACCGGTTACTCTTAACGCTGTCAGCAGCCTATGTGGAGACATTTGTGAAGCTCCACATTCATATACATCACCAGAACATCTAGCATCTTCATACAGCTCAGTGAAGTATAACTCAGACTCAGGTAGACGCTTGAGATTGATTGTGACTCTAGCGTGACTGCTGAAGTAATTCATGGAAGCCAACGGCCTTCTTCTCATAACCACTTACCCCAGAGGAAACAGGCTGCTTAGCTGTTAGATATCACGTGTTTACAGCCCCATTGTTTGCTTTAGGAGATGTACTTCATGCTTGTGGGTATGTCTGTAGAAATCTTGTTTGTTCAGTCCAAGGATGCTTAGGGTCAGTTTGTGTAGTTATGGGTAGTGCAGGCCCTAACCATGTCCATCCTCCACACACCAGAGCCTGCTCACAGGAGCAGGGCAGGAGAGTCAAAGGGACCTAGGGACTTCAAACTCCATAGAATTTGGGTCTTCTGTATCACCCAGTGTGATCTACCTGTGTAAGGGAGTGTGTATGTGCATTTGTTTACGTATGTATGGTGACTCTATTGAGCCCTGAGGTTTCCAGCTGGTCTGGTCCAGTCTGACCTGGAGCACATCAGCTAGAGTCTTAGCAGGCCACTTTTGGCTACTTATCCAGGGGATTTGGAGATGAAATTCTTAGTCTCGCCAGCTGGAGGCACTAATTCCGTTATTTATGGTAATTTAAAATTATTATTCCCCAGTGGCATGACTGCCATAGCTGTGCCCAGTGGTCTAAATGGCCACAAGGTGAGGACAAACCTCCTTCCTGAAGGCTGGGCATACATCTTCAGAACGCCTGTTTCTCGTCTGCAGCCTCTATACACCGTTTCTGTGCATTCCTTTCACAGGTTATAGGTAAGATTGAGAGGGGGCCTGGGTGGGCTCCCTGTTCCCCTGGTTTGGATACAGAATGGAATTCCTGAGGGGATTTCATCTTCTTGGCTCCTGTTGTCACTGATCCACGAAATGAAGCCACCCCTCGAATGACTGAGTGAATGAGTGAATGAATAAATGAATGAGTGAATGAGTGAATGAAGCCCCTCCTCATGTTTCAGTGGAATCTGCCTGTACCATTGCTGCAGGCATGCCTGGTGCTTTTCCACACCCTTGCTCATGTGGTTTCCTTTGATTAATAAATCACACTGGTACTTGCCAAAGCCCGTCCTGCTCTGCAACGCTCATTTCAGATGCCACCTCTTTCCTGGAGCCTTTCCTGATTTTACCCAAATTGATATAATATCTCTCTCCTTGAAACATGGGGACAGAGCCTATGGCCCTTTCCTTGTGCCACTCCACGAGGGCTGACAAAACACCTGACACACGGTAGGGTTTGGATGTGGTAGGTATGCAGCTGACAGGGCCCAGTGGATCTGATGGAGCTCCCCCACACGTGGGAGCCACACGCCCTTACCTTAGGAGTGAACATGTGCAGGATGCCGTCAACCGCCCCTCGAAGCAGCAGCCCCCGAACCAGGAAGCAGGCCAACACCACGTAGGGGAAGAGGGAGCTGAAATACATTACCTGCAGAGAAGACAAAGGCCCCTGTCAGGCCAGCCCCTCCTGCAGCAGGCACCCTCCTTCCCTGCTCACAGCTGGGACCCATGATCCTTCTCTCATACTAGGCAGCAGGACTTGGAGCCTGGAGCCCCCAGGCACTGAGCCAAACCCACCATCCATCTGGCCCTGGGCCCAGGCAGGAGCAGAACAAGCTGGAGTCAGCATGGCTGTGCCTGGAGCTGCTCTGCCTTTCAAGGGCTGGTGAGAATGAACTGCTAGGCTCCACTCCTAAGGGCTGTTACAGGGTGAAAAAATTCTGTGCAGTCCCTTCTCATTTTCCCAGTCTTGTGTCCCCAGCGGACAGTTCTGGGATCTCCCATGTCCTTAGAGGTCCTGTAACAAAAGGTATCGAGGAGGTCTTGACACTATTCCCCAGCAGAGCCCATTAGAAAAGGATCCAGCCCCTAGGGACCCAGAACCTGAACCACGTGCTAGTCGCTAGCTGACATATGTCATACACTTTTCTAAAGCCCTGTGTGCCTGGTACAGAGCCATACACAAAGATTTTGCTCATAGAACCTCAGCTGCAGTAAAATAAATCTTGGGGATATTAAAGGCAGGGCAGCAGAAAGGCGAAAAAAGTGCATTGTGAGCTAGCGACCTGAGTACTGATCCTGGCGCTATCATCAACCAATCCTGGGGCCTCAGGCTATCTACTTAATTTTAGCATGCCTCTATCTCCTCACCTTTAAAGGGCTGTAATATTCTTTATTCATACTTGGTGAGAACCAAGGATGGGCAGATGTGACAGTTCTGACAAATACCATGAAGTCTCAGCTACTACTATGGCCTCCAGAGAGGGAGGGGATTGGTGCCTGAAGTGACACCAGCTTTCTACAACTTAGTTTGGGTACTCATCAAGTCTGACAAAGAACCAAGAGCCTCAACAGACAGACAGACAGACCAACAGACAGACCGGGCTCCAGCGCCAGCCCTGACAGACTAGCTGTATGACATTACTCGAGGCTCTTTCCCCTGTATAGACTTTAGTTTCCTTGTCAGTAAAATGACTGGGGGGCTATCAGATGTCTGCCATCTCTTCCACCGCTTGCAGTCCAATTCTACTAAGTCATAAATAGTACAGGTTGGAACTGCTGGGAGAGGCGGCTAGAGCTTGGCCGTTATGCACCTTCAGAGACTGGACTGCTAGGGCAGGGGTGGGGAGGTCAAAGTTCTCAGCTGCTCTACCAGCCCTTTACTCCTTTAGCCTTCCGTGAGGCTGTCACTGAAGTGTTCTTCCTTGGTGGTTTGGGGGCCCAGCTCCTGCTCTCTGGCTCCCTGCTGCCTTACCCCTGCTCACCTTTCCAGAGGACTGGATGCCCTTGACTACAGCCATGCCCACGATGCTCCAGGCCACAAGGAGGCAGAGAGTCATCTTCCAGTTGAGGCCCCCACTCTCTGAGATGGAGTTGGAGATGTCCAAGGCCTCTCGATACCAGAAGTAGGTAGTAGCTGAGCTCTTCTCGCACTCAGGCTCCACCACTGAAACCACAGAGGTCACAGGAAAGTCACAGAGCCCCAGTTTCCAGCCCTAAGGGCCATGTCCTGTGTGGGACCCTGCCCAGGTAGCAGTGGATGAGTGGGAAGCTGAGAGTGGGCTGTGTCCTGAACTGGCAGATCCTCAGGAATCCTGAGTCTCTGATGAGCCCTAAAAGGCTTTAGGTCACAGTCAAGTGGCTGAATTCACACCCAGACCATCTTCTGTTCACTAATTCACAAAAAATGAAGAGCTAAATCTGTCTAAAGGTTCTTGGGGGAAAGGCCCAGAGACAGAGGCTGGAAACCCAGAATTCAGACCATTGGTTAAATGGACAGTCTGAGCATGGGAAAGTGGCTTCAGGATCTGTTTTTCCATCTGTGGAGTGGGAGAGTCTGCTGCACGCAAATTAAAATCATTTTTAGACATATGCTATTGGGGTAACAGTACTTCATAATAACTAAACAAAATTCAGTCCCTGAAACCTCTGTGAGCCAGTAGATCATTCCCTCAGGAGAAGGGGGGAAAATGAGAATCAGAGTGTGAAGTCTTTCTCCAAGATGACTCAAGGAACCAATGAAATTGCAACTCTGAGCACTGAACAGTTTAGACTCTTTCCCAGGGCTGGCTGGAGACCATATCTGGGGTCCTTGGGGATCCCACACTTGCCTGCCACAGTCCCATTCCTGATAACAGGACATTCACTCCAGGGCAGTGGGTACTGGAAAGACTTGAAGAAGTAGAAGACACTCCACCCAATGATCACATTGTAGTACAGCCCAACAAAGAGGCAGACCTGGGGATGAGGGCCAAGGTAAGATGATCATAGAGGCTATAGATAAAGCTATACCTCCCCACACACCATCCAAGGCCTAGCATCTCAAAACCAGCCATGATGGGAGATGAAGGAGGATGAGATGGAGCAGAAAGGGCCTGCTACTAGTCCTCCCCCATTCATCTGATTCATCTGGTACTCAGTCAGGCCACAAAGGAATTCCTGGGATATTAAAATTGGCTCCTTTAAGCAATAAACTCTTAAAATGTTAATCCTTTCCAGTTTTAAATGCCTGTAAGATACTTGAAGCCCTTCCTCCATCATTTCCTGATGACTCAGGATTTTAATTAGAGATGCCCTCCAGGACCATGGAGGCATACCACAGCACTCGTCCTTATAGGCCCAGACAGTGATGTGTTTTAAGATTGTGTGGATTACTGTTTTCCTACGTCTTCCCTTCTTTTAGGTGCTACTCTTTCTTTGAAACTTTGAGCAGCCAGCCTCTAGAGACACGGCAATTAAACTTGGCAGAGTTTTACTAAAATAGGAGGGTCTATCCATGTCTTATAGGCAGGGCTTGGCTGTATCTGCTCCTGATGCTCAGAGGTCCCTTCCAAAGCCCAGGCTAACACAGACAATTGAGATGGCTAGGCTAGTGTGAGTGCAGAGGGTCCCTGGTGTCTTCCCTTTCATGTAAGCACCTGTATGAAGAAGCACAGGTTTCCACACACAGAGAGAAGAGGGAGGGGCTGCACTGGAATAAACACACAGAGGCTTCCGTTTCCTTAACTGTGGTGTTTTCAGTCCAAGTAGAGTATTCCCTACTCTTGCATGTGCACACATGGTCAGCCTGGCATTTGCACTGTGGCTGACCACAGTAAGCTGTGCACAGGTGATGCCTGGTTTGACCACAGGACAGAGCACACAGGATAATCCTCCCACCGGGTTTGATAGAGTCCTCAGTCCCTTCCAGATGTGGATTCCAATTTTTATCTCAAGTGTGAAAGTAGGCACCTGGGGACTTTGCCTTTAAGGGATGTTCAGTTTCCTCAGGTGTATACAGCTCTCAGCCAGAGTTCATCTACAGCCACACAGATGAGCCTAGAAGTCCCCATCCAAGGCCCATGAGGTCTCCCAAAACCTCACGCCTCCTGGGTTGATCATAAGGCTCCAGTCTGAGTATTTCAACTGTTCATTTACATGGCACACTAGCAAGGGGTCCTAAGCCACATACATTTGAAACACTCATCCCAAGGAAAGGTAATGGGGTTCAAGAGAAGCTGAAGGCTGGTAAGGAGCGGTGGAGACCTGGGAGAGTCCATCTGCCCCCAGATAATAGGGACTGAGATATTCTTGTGAACATGTCACATTTTTCCTCTTTTGCATCATTTGTGAATGTCATATGTGGTTTCTGGCAGTGCCATCAACTTTCAGTTTGTGGAATATGGTGACTATGGTCCTAAGACACCAGCTGTAAGTAATTCTGCTGATGGATTCTCCTGCTTCCCTTGTCTTGGCCTAGGACTCTGGCCTATAATCCTGATGACGTCCTCTATAGAATCCACAAGTGGCCCCTCTGCCTCCCGCACGGTATCCTCTCCCCCAGCACCGGACTCACAATACAGCTGGAAAAGCCGATGCCCCCCAGGCGGGGGCACACATAGTGCCACACACCAATGCTACCACGGCGGATCCTCTGGCCCACAGCCAGCTCCAGAAAGAAGAGGGGGATGCCGATAATGATCAGCAGCACCAGATAGGGCACCAGATAGGCACCTGCAAGGAAAAGAAAAAGGCTCATAGAATAGGTCTGGATCAGAGAGAGCCAGTGTGAGGGGAGGGGTAGCCATAGTGTTCTACAGTCTCAACTATAGTGAGTGCACAGTGACAAGAGTGTGAGGGGAAGGGTGTGGGAGCCATATACTACAGTCTCAGCCATGTCTCTTAGGTCATCTGGAGCTTCTTTGTGAATAGCATGGCTCATGGCTGTGATCTCTCCAACACTGGCACATCCAGATTTTCTTCTCCTTGATCCTGTGACTTGGGATGTGAAAAGAGGGGGCATATGGGTGCCAGAGCCTTCCATTCACAGGGCTGGGTCCAGAAGTCCTCACTGCCTCTCAGGGAGCCACATGCCAAGTCTCAGACTCTGACCTCACATGGTAGTCTGTGGATTCCTGTCCACTACCCACCCAGATGTCGCGATGGATCTTGCTCACTCATTCCCAAGGGCTCGCTCCCACCCCACTCTGTGGTCCAGCCTGCTAACATCTGAGGCAGATGCTAACACAGAAGACTGAGAAAGAAATTTCCAAGCTCTAGAGAAGCTGAGCTTGGAAATTCTCCAGGGAAAGGGTCTCATCAGCCTCACCATTAATCCACAGCTAATTGGGAGGAATGGAAGAGAAATTAGCTGTTCAGGAAGGCGTGATAAAGGAATCATAAAGGATAGAATGATCTTGCTAAAGATTACAGATAACAAATTAATCTTGCTGTCTTAAACCTAGCTGCAGACACGATCTCAATTCCAAGTGACAAGGCATTTAGCAGGAGAATTAAAGCCCTGGCTGGACATGGTTGAGTGCACCCCACCAAGAGTTGTGCCAAGAACAAAGCCCTGTTAGCAGCACTATCAGCTAGGTCCTACCTGTCAAGCTGTCTTGCTGGCTCCCGTCTCCTGGATTTCCTAGCGCCTCCAGGGAAAGCCTTTTAAGTGAGGAGTCTCCTAAAGGCCCCAGCTACACTGCTGTGTCACCTGTAACTCACCCTTCTCTGGCACACACACCATCTGCCAATGAACACTGGGGGTCAAGCATCTACTGGACCCAAAAATCTGTCAGTTAGCAACAGAAGCTGTTTACCATGGATCTCCCCTGGGCCAGATTCAGGTTATAGGGGATATAGGAGAAACAGAAAGCACAGATGGTATCCTGGGAGACCTTGTGGGAGGTGTATTTCTCAGATTCATTTGGGCAATGTCAGCAAGCATGTGCATACACACATCCTGAATTGGTCACACCATAGGGGACCACTGGAGCACACATCTGCTGAAGGGACTCATGGGGAGAACATCCCAGGAGAAGCTTCCCACTGAGCCTCGCAGATCAGCATTTAACTTAGCACACACACACACACACACACACACACACACCACAGAGGTACCCACTCACGCACACACTCATCCATCCTGTCACTCACAAGCTGCCCCACCAAGAGCTCATAGGTGGAAGGGAGCAGGGCTAAAGAATCAAAGGCACAGACTCCTACTCTGTCTTTAACTCGGCCTCCTGATCTTTAATAGAAACAAAAGCAATGGAAGCAATCTACTGCAGAAAAACAAGAAAAAGCCTCACTGGTATTTTTATTTTGCCTCAGGTGGGACGAGATGTACAGGGAGATGAGTGTCAGAGTCACCAGCACACTAGTAGAAACTCCTATAAATGTTTCCTCTTGCCACACACTGGGGAGAGCCTCTAAAAGTGACCTACAGCAAGAAGAAAAAATGTGGACTGGCTTCCTGTGGCCAGGGTTCCTTCTATCCCAATCATGACTGCAGGCTGTTACCACATGGAGCTTAGTCTGGACAGAGGGCTTGAGGCCAGAACACTTAGGTGAGCCGAATTCATGGTTAATCAAAGGCAAGTGTGTGTGTCAATCATTGTTGAGATCATCTGGACATGCAGCAGTACCTTCTTCCACCCTGGGAAACATGACTTGGAGACCACTGGATTTCTTCTCTGATGCTGTCAAGTCTTTCAGGAGTCCTGGGACTGAACAGTTGGGAAAACCGTTTGGGGCATTAGGGTGTTTAGTAGAACAACCACAAGCGGAGCCTGGTTCTCCACAGTTCCCCAGATCCCTGCCTATGCCCTGTGCCTTGCTTTTGGTAAACCCCTTTTATTTCTAGTGACAGGATTTTACTGTCACCAAGAGCCCATTTTTGTCCCCAGTTAATTGAGATAAGGACTCTGGGTTCAGATCATCAAGACTGGAATCCAGGTTCTGCCATCTACTTTGCAACTTTCGACAAATGACCTGATCTCTCTTTGCTATTATTTTGTCAGCTATGTAGACCAGTGGTTCTCAACTGGGGGTCAAGACCCCTTGAAGGTGAAATGACCCTTTCACAGGGGTCCCCTAATACCATAAGAGAACAACATATTTACATTACTATTCATAACAATAGTAAAATTACAATTATGAAGGAGCAACAAAATAATTTTATGGTTGGGGGGTCACCACAACATGAGGGACTGTATTAAAACATCACAGCAGTAGGAAGGTTGAGAACCACTGATGTATACAGAATGAGAATATTAAGCAAGATGGTTTGAAATTGCTGGTATTTGCCCATTTTTAACTTACAATAGTGCTGCTTTATACTCTTCTATTTCCTACTTCTATATAAAGGGTTATCATGAAGAAGAAATGGGTTATTTTGAATAGGCAGACTAAGAAGAATGCTGATATACAACCTTTAGAAGGTGGAGCCTGGCTGGCAGAGGTGGATCACTGGGGTGAGCCTTTGAGAGTTACAGCCTGTCCATGATTCTGTATTGCTGATTGTTTCTTGGTCTACCTTGTCGTCCCTCCCCAGTGCACTTCTGTGGGGCACAGAGACACTCATCTCCACCATGATAACAGAATGCTCCTGAAACCCTGAGCCAGATTAAACCCTTCCTCTTAAGTTTCTTCTGTTAAGTATTTTATTCCAGTGACCAATAATTGTATTGGTCCAATACAATTGGAACCAATACAAAGTAACCAATACAAAGGTGGGGTGGTGTTGGTCTCTGAACTGTACAGAAAGTTTGGAAGAGGCTACAATGTTAGCAATGCCTTGGGGAAGGCAGGGAGCAGCTGTGTCAAAATGCCTGGGAAGCTATAGCCATCCAATAGGCTGAAGTGTGGTGGTTTCAGAGCAGGGGACTTGGGAGCTATGAAGTTTCCTGCTGGCAGCTTTCTCAGTAACACAAGTGTGGGTTGGGAAATGCAGCTTCCAGCTTTCCTCTGTATCCTTTGACTGTCAGCTCGACTAGAGTCACCTGAGAAGGGAGTCTCAGTTGAGGGATTTCCCAGGTCAGACTGGCATATGGGTACCACCTTGATTAGTAGTTGATCTAGGAGAGTCCAGCCCACTATGGGCAGCGGCATTCCCTGGGAAGGTGGTCTGGGTTATATAAGAAAGCTAGCTAAGCATTCTATCATGAGTACGCATGCAGTGTTTCTCCATGGTATCTTGAAAAGTCTTGCCTAAATTCCAGCCCTGACTTGCCTCAATGATGGGCTGTGACCAGGATGTATATAAGCCAAATAAACCTTTCCTCACTTAAGTTGCTTTTTAATATGAGTATTTTAACACAATAAAAAAACTAAAACACAAGCTTACTAAGTGTTTGTTGTTGTTGTTTGTAATTTTCTCATGGCTTCAAATCAGTCTGCCTCTGGAAAATTCTGGTGAACCTCCACACTCTGGAGAGACGATGCCTAGGAATCTCTCCCTACCCTAGGTGCTTTCTCAGCATTGATGACAATCTTATAGCAAGCCATAATGCTCCAGAGAAATTTACATGCAGGTGCAGCATCAGACTCCACTATAGGCACCCAGCCCACATGGTGTAAAGTGCACAGGCCAGGTCCAGGCCCACCAAGTGAAATCCTGTCCCTGGCATTAATCCTTCATGCCACATGACCTGGAAAAAAATTACCCAACCAATTTGTACCTCAGTTCTATAGTCTTTAAAGTAAAGACAATGGCCTTCTTCCTTAAACCAGGTTGCTGAGAGGAGCTGACAGATGAACCATGAGAAACTGCTGCTTTGGCTGTTCCAAGATGCTCAGCTAAGAAGAGTTTCTAGCAGTAGGCCCAGCATCCATTAAGTGCTTAAAATAGTACTTTGTATCTCATAAGTGTTTGACAATAACAGCCAACACTTGTTTTTACCAACACAGTATATAAAATTCATTTAATCCTTCCAACCATCCTGTAGGCACGAAGTACTCTTATGCTCAATTTGCAGAATAAACCCTAAGAGGTTCAGCAGCTTGTACTAGGTCCCAGGCCTGGCTGGTAGTATTGCCAGCAGGGCTATGTTCTTGGCACAACTCTTGGTGGGGTGCACTCGACCATGTCCAGGACCCACATTCTTATCACGGCCTCCAGCCTTTTTATAGCAATGAGTCACTGTGTGACTCTGAGTCTTGTTCTGGAATCCTGCACTCCTCTGTTCAAGGACTCCAGTTCTACCTCAGCAAAGGCATGGCCCTTTCTACGCCAGCCCAGCCCATTTTCCGGGTATCCTTGATCAACCATGGTTACCTCTTACCTCCTCCATTTTTCTGGCACAGGTAGGGGAACCTCCAGATGTTGCCAAGGCCCACAGAAAAGCCGATCTGGGCCAGGATGTACTGCAGCTTGCTATTCCAGGCTGGCCGGTCCTCTGCGTCCAGCTCCTCCTCCGCCACCTTCTGCTTGCCACCTGTCTCTCCAGCCACATTCAGTACACTCTGCTTATAGTCCACAGGCTCCTCGAGGGCCAGCAAATCAGCCACTGACTCAGTGACATGCTCATTGCTGTGTTCACGCTGGGTCACCTTGCTGTTCTTCGGCATGGGTGCCACTGGGGCTGTGCAGCCCTATTCCCCAGCACACAGAGAAGGTGGGGCTCAGTTCCTGTCAGCTCTTTCTCATCCAAACGCCTGCGAAAGCAGATAAACAGCAGATGATTCACTGACAATGCCAGAAGTAAGGATCCCAAAGTAAACAGATAGAACCCAAATCAAATTCCTGGTAGATATCCCACACTAGAGCGGGTTCTCAGGGGTTGAACTGGCTTTTATCCCCACCAGGATGCTCACTGGGCAGCTGAAGGTAAACACATGTTGTTTTCCCAGAGGTGTTACCTGGGCATCACTAGAAGGTGCTGGAAACCTACTGTGGCAGACCCAACAAAACCATATGCCAAACCCAAACAAAGGTCATCTACCATGACACCTGTCTTTTGCAATGCAGAGTCTAGCGTGGTCAAGACCTTTAGACATGCCCACAGCCTTCTCCCTCCAAGGTACCGTCATTGGGGCTCACATCTATCTCTATTGTGATCTAGTTAGCCAAAGCCACCTGGTGGGACCCTGGTCGACTATCAACTTGTTAGATTAAGGAGGCGCTTCGTGAAGTACCCCACTGAGTGTGTTAAGAGGAGGTTGGGGGATATCCACCCTGTATTCCATGCCATCCCATTCCCCGGGTTGAGGTCCTAGACTGAAGAAAAAAGGAGAAAAAGTAGAAAATAAGTCCGCTTCCCCTTGCTGGGCTTCCTAACCTGTGGAGACAGATGTGAGCAAGCAGACCCATGCTCCCTGCTGCCAGTGCCCCTAGCTGCTCTACCACCAAAAGAAGTCCTTCTTCTCTTAAGTTGCTTCTTGTTGAGTCTTTGGTTACAGCCATGAGAAAGTAACTAACACATCTAGGAAGTCAGTGTCTGACTTCTCTAAATTCTTTCTGTTCAAAACATAATCCACAGGCCAAGAGTCACTAGGAGTTCTGTAGAAATGAGGGCTCCCAGGCCTACTGATGATTCAGGAAGCTCTGCAGGCATCACTATGGGGCTGATGACTCAGGAAGCTCTGCAGGCAGCACTATGGGGTTCCTGAACACTAGCTTCTAAGTCCCTTTCATATTTCCCTGGCAGGAAAGCTGCCCAGGCTCGGCTATGGGTTCTGGCACCAGAGCCCTAGAAACGCTTGCTCAGTGCCAGCAAATCCTGGGTCATTGCTCAGCATTGACATTATCTGAAGGCCACTGCAGCCAAGAGCTGGTTCTCCATCCTTCAGCGACAGCTTTATGGCAGATAATGTCTGCACGACATGGGTGGGGGAGGCAGAACCCTACCCTTCTGCTGCCATCCCTCATTTGTCTTTTACACTTTCCCTTAAAGAAAGAAAGCACCGAGAAGATGAGCGCTTTGAAGATTCCCAGCGTTCTGTTATATTTCAAGGCACCTCCTCATTAAGGAGAGGCTGGAGGATTTAAAATTAAACACACACACCCAGCCTACCGTTGCCCTGCATCTTTCTAGGGATGTAAATTAGCCAGCGCTGTAATTACTTTATTAAGGGAACAAGCTGTCTCTGGAAGCCAGGCTTGCTATTCTTCTCATGCGTCTATGCCCCCTGAAAAGCCCAGACAAGGTCATCGTGTGGCAGAAGGACATGGGGCATTCTTTCTTCTGGGGATGATGCATCCTTCCTGGCTAAGTCCAGCTAGGACCTGACCATCCCAGCCCTGGTACACATGTGACAAAGCCGTGAGACATATCTGATGGGGGCAAACTATCCATGCTAGCCTGTGGGACTGGCTAGCTGTACCCAGGCCAGGCCACGGACCTCATCACGAGGTAACCTTAGCCTGCTATTTTTGTTCAAGAACAGCAGTGAATCTTTTGCAACTGTCCCTTCCATCCCAGGAAAAGCACATCAGGGTCTCAAGCTTTGGAGGAACTGGGGCAGAGTCACCCTGCCTAAAAGATGTCAGAATTCCCAATAAGGAACTCTATTGAGACTCCAAAGTGGGCTAGCCGAGCATCCCACTGTGTCCTAGAGGGTGTGTCTGTGACCTCAGCCACCCTCAGAGCTCTCTTCCCAGTTCCTGTATACCCCATGCTACACAAGTGAAGGGTACCCTGAGAGTTCTGCAATGCCTGTGTGTAGACCTAGGGTGTCAGGATGAGTACCTCTATGGACACACAGAAGGTTCCTGACCCAGCCCACTCAAATGGAAACATTCACCATCTCCTTGACTGGGAGCCTGCTCAATCCTTTCAACTTACCTTGAAGGCTTTTACTGCAGATTAGAGCCAAGGATCCTAGCTGGGGGTCTGGAGATTGCAACCACTCAGATGCTTTGGCTTAGAATTTTGTCCAGCTACTTTTTCCACATAGAACTTCCCAGAACACTCTGCAATGCATTAGGTCTAATTTATTGATCCTCAGGCTTGAAGTGGACAAAACCAGGAGAGATCCCCACCAGCCAGAGTGCATCTCAATGCTGAACAACTAGAGCACATGTTTCCCCGTAAATACCTAGTGAGTAGCAGCTCTGATCACTAATGCGAAGGAAAAAAAAAAAAACTACCACCTCTTTAAGCTAGAAAAGATCAAGCACAGACGCAGAGGGCAGCCACAGCTGCATGACTGACAGCCACAGGGTCACGTCCAGTGCTGCATGACCTTCTTTCTACTGATGTCACTCACTCATAGAGTGTCCCCCACTCTGTGGGATGGGGCTCAGGGGTCCTGGTACCATAGGGTTTGCACGATGCAAGATTTGATGTGAGCCTGTGAGCTGCAGTGCTGGGCGGTAGTGACAATCAGGAAGTTCTACACCCAGTGATGACAGAACCATATTCTGAAAAATTAAATCTTAAGGGACCCTATAATTGATAATTGCCCAATATAACGCTCAATGTGTGTGTGTGTGTGTGTGTGTGTGTGTGCATGTGTGTAGGGGGGCATGGGTATATATGTATGTAGAAAACTAAGCCTCAGAGAGGGGAAATAAATTGCTCAACTCACCCAGGTCCTCCTGATACCCTAACAGGGAATCCCACTAATCAGTCAGGATCAACACTGACACTGTTGATCTGGAGAAAGGGTTGCAGGAAGGAGGCTTACGAGGATCTGTTCTGGGGACAGTGATGCTGCAGATCCTAAAAAAATGAATATCAAATGTAGTGGCCAGGAGTGATGTGTGTCACCAAGAGGAGCAGCGTGGGAGGAATGAAGCCACCTGCCTTCATGCTGGGGATGGAGGACGTCAGGAAAGGCATCGTGGTGGCTATAGTGACTCTGGAGCAGAGCCCTAAGTGATAGGAGACAATACTAGCAGAGATAAGATACACACACACACACACACACACACACTCACACACACACACAATGAAAGGAAGTATGTGAGTGATTCAAGAACAACAATGTGGTCCAAATGGCCAGGGAGAGGAGAAGGCCTGAAATACATGATGGGCATCCAGGACTTGGATGGGCATCTGGGTGAGGTACTGCCCCCTGGAGGACTTGACCACATACTAGCTGTGTACTCCTGGTCAAGACCTATTAGTTACCTAAGGGTCCAGCTCCTCATGGTGAAAATGGCTCTCTCATCTAATGACAGGCTCCCTCTCCCAAAAAGCTGCTGGGAGGCATAGCACAGGGCTGGGAGGACATGTCCAGCACAGATGCAGGCGCACAGAAAGGGTCCAGCTGAAGGCCTAGTTTTATTCAACTTTTCACACCAAACTGTTTACATTTCTATTTGTTTACACGAGTCCCCTCTTTCTCCGAAGAAAGAGCCAGAGTGAGCCGCAAGTGGGAATGGAGGTGGGTGGTTGAAACATTTTAACCCACCTCAGAAATGTCCACCTTCTGTGTGTATGTGTGCGTGCACACTCACGTGTGGGTGTACACGCATGCGTGCATGCATTCGTGCCTGTGGGGTGTGTGTGTGTGTGTGTGTGTGAGTGAGTTGCCAACAATCTAACCTAGAACCTTGTGCACATTAGGTACCAGAAGCACTCATTCTCCATAGCAGGAGCTGGGGCCCCCTGAGGCTTCTCACCAACACCTCATTCATCAAACCCTAGAGCCCCAAAGAGCCAAGTACACACCATGCAGCTCCAGGTGTGGATTCAAAAGCTCAGCAACATTACTTAGAAAAGTTAAGTGCTGTTATTGTTAATGACATAGCTCAGATAACCTTTGTGGTCATTTGAAGCCACCTTAAAACATGTTTGCATGCTGATATAGAATAGGGTATTGATTATGCTGGGTATGGGTTCAAATCCCAGCATCACTGTGTATCAACTACCTGGGCTTCTGTTCTCTCATCTGTCACAGCTATATTCCAAAGTATTCCTCATGACACTGAGAATTGTCATGCAGGACAGAAGCCACAGACTCTGAGACCTTTTCACAAACATGACTCACCATGGGTTCTTATTTGAGTTCCACTCCATGGAACCCAGGGAAGCAAGCAGTTAACTGTGTGTCCACTTTGCTTACAGATGGGGGCACCCAGGCCAAGGGCAGTGCAGGGCATGACCCACACCCCACAGGTACCTGTACCTGCTCATTCATCTTGAATTTTTTATTTCATTTATTTAGTGTGTGTGTGTGTGTGCACGCGCGCGTGCGTGCGTGTGCACAAGTGGAGGTCAGAGGACAATCTGTGGGAGATGGTTCTCTCCTTTCAGTGGGTAGAGATTGATCTTAGGTCATCAGGCTTAGCAGCAGCCTTTACCTCCTAAATCATCTCAGCAGCCCTGTACAGCTTCTTTTAAAAGTAAGATGGTACCAACAGCTTTTAAATCATATCGCCCAACCCCCAACACACACACACACACACACACACACAACACACACACACACAACACACACACACACACACACAACACACACACACACAACACACACACACACACACACACACACACACACACACATACAGTGCCCAAGCCTGGAGTCCATGTGCTGGCCTAGTCCATGGCTAAATGCCAGCTTTCAAATCAGGTTGTGGAACTCCACAGTTACCTAGCCAATGGCCCTAAAACAGCCTAGGACAAATACCAGGATGCTAGAATCCTGAGAAGGCAGTCTCTCTCTACTCTGCCTTTACATCCCACAGGGCCAGTCATGAGCCAAATATA